CTATATATCAATGATGTTTTTGAAAGTTTACAAAATGACACCTTACATGACTCAATGAGAGTTTTTGTCTAAGTGCATCGGAGCAACTATTCTTCCTTTTATTAGAATTCCAATGAGTTAGGTTACAATATATATGTACGACGACACCAACTTTAAAACTCTAATATTGGTATATTAAACAAGTATCGAAATATCGTTTTAGTCAGCTCGAAAATGAAATGGAAATAGAGAAAAAATATAAAAACATTTAGAAACACGTGGCAACATATATAAAATTATTTTATTTATAAAAAAATCTTAATAATTAATTGATTGAGCATGTTTATTGGGTTAACACCTGAAGATGCACAAAATAGTCTCGTGCAAGGTCAACAGTCGAGTGTGTGATAAAATGTAATTAATGAACAATTATTAGAGTAATTAATGATAATAACGTAAATATTTGGTCAACACACAGATATGTATTAGTTCGGTTCGGGTGACCTACTCCACTCCGAAAGGGGCAACGGTGGATGGTGAGCCTTTATTAATAAATAAGGTAAGGGGAGAGAGAGCTCTGGGAGAGGTGTGCTCCGGGCGAGGTACAATACCTAAGAGAGAGAAAAGTTATGTGAGAGGTGTGTATAGATGTAGGGAGGTACCCCTCTCAATGGAGAGAGCTTACAATTTATAGGCATGAAGCCCTTAGGTGAGGCGGTGACGTGATGATAAATATACTAGTTTATCGAAGAGGATAACTACAAAAGATAAGTACAATTAAAATAGTCTTGGTCTTTAAAAGTGGGTATCCCGATAATTACCCTCCATGTGCTTTATTCTTCTTGAACTCCCTGAACCTTGGCTAGGTCGAATTGATTAAACAGACTTGCCCCGTTTTTTAGCTGATTTGAGCTTCCTTGATTAGTTGGGCCTAATACGTTCGAAATTGGTTAGGAATTGGCTCATCATTTATCCATTGACGTTTCTTTCGAAATTTTGAATTTTTTTTTCAACACACCAATGCGATATTTCGATGCTTGACATTATATATTCTAAAAATTGAATACATCTATGTCATACAATGGGCTCCTTCACAAATAACTAAAGATATTTTTTATGAATTGGATATGATAATTTCATGAATTTTTTTTTCTTGCTTCATATTCAAATTCATTAATAATTTGAAATCCAATCTAATTTGAGTAACTTAATTTAACTAAATTTTAACAAATTACATCTAAATTTCAACTAAATTTATTCAAATAACCACTTAATTTTTATAATAGTAATACAAAAATATATAAATACGAAAAGTATATTTCGGTCCCATAAGACTCTTCTTTCACATCACACAAGGGACCTGAACTCAGCAGTAGATAAGTGTTGTGGATGAACGTGTCGAAGAGGGATAAGGGGAAGACGTACGAGTGGTGACAGTCATATCCGCGTTGTTGAATTCAAGTCCTTGCCACCGTCCGCAGCTGCTGGAGCAAACATACCATATAATCTCTGCGACTAAACTCTCAACCCATTCAAAGGCCGAGACAGAAGAATTAATTAAGCATTCAAAGGACTACTTTTTTTGGTAAACGTATTCCTACTCCTCCTTCGCTTCCAAACAAAACAAAATCACATGAGGAGACAAAAAAAAAAGAAAAAAACAAGTCCCAGTCATTTGACAATAATAGATCCCAACATGAATAATTTAATTTTGATTGACATGATAAACATATTTTATTAACATTGTAAGAAATCATTTGATTGATTGATTTATTTATTTTTGTATGAATTATTAATAATTAAATATTTTTTTATTTTATTTTCTCTTGGACTTATGTCGATTAGATTTATAATTTTTAGGAGTTCTATGTGTGGTGACTTTAGTTGAAAGACAAGGAGAGATCATACCAAAAATTACCACTTATTAAGATCAAAATATATTTTTTTTAAGTGAAGGTATAATTTCTTAAAGTAATCATGACGGATCACAATCTTTTTTCTTTTTTTTTGTTTGTGTTTTTTGATTCAACACTCAGGCGTGTCAGCTTCAAAGTGTATCGACTAATCTCCTTCCTAATTCAATCAAAGGTAAGTCATTCATGTCGGGACTAGGATCTTCATGAGAGATAAATTCCTTATGACCTAGCCTGAAGGGATTGACAAGATTTAAATTCAAGACATCTAGGTTTATAACTCGTCTTTGTTACCACTTAAACTATCTCTTGAGATTACGAAGCACGATCAACCGAAAAAGTTTTCTCATTTTTTGATGTGCCTAGATTGCATTCTAGCGTGATTTTCATGGAAAAAGTAGAAGGTGAAAAATATGGATATTGAAGGCTTTTAATATTGAATGTAAACCTAGTTATTTTCTTCATTTTTGACCCATTCAATTTTTATTTTCTTGTCAAACTCTCCGTCAATGTTCAAAGCCCTTCCATCAATCTTATAACATGAAAAATTCAAGTCATACATTTTGATGACTTGATGTGTATAAATATAGCATCTCTTTGCATTTTATTTATTCAACTTACTTTTATTTCATTCTTTGCTCAATACGCCAACAAGATGAAAGCTCCAAGTATTGTTTTAGCCATTGTGGCAATTGTTTTCCTTCTAAGCATCAAACCATATCAAGCCTGCAGATTGCTAGATGGAGAAGAAGGAGATTGGTTAAAAAACAAAAATCTCGTGGTACAGTCTCTGCAGTCCGGAGGTCCAAATGGGTGCACCTACATCCCCACGCCTGGTGGTACTCCTTGCAAGCTCAACAATAAGAACTTTGTGAGTCTCACCATGTCTCCTCCTCCAGCATACCCACAACTCATGGTTCCAAGTGGTGCGGCCACTGGTCGTAAGTGAAGGCCGACGGTGACCATTAACAACATGACAATACTTAAGAAGTCATAACAGTAAAGTAACTTGTGAGGTTAAGGAAAGCAAAAGCCGACCAAACTCTTTGTTTTTTAATTTACATATGTTTATATTTAATTTGTGTATTGCATATATTAGGATGATAGATTGACAAAAAGAGAATAAGAGGATGCTCTCTTTGTAATTTGTATACTTATTAAAGACAAATATATAAAGCTTAAAGTGAACAATAAGTCTTTCCTCATATTTCTACTTACAAAATATTATTTTTGTGTTATTTGGTGACTAAATAAGATATATTTTTCACCGCTGATAAATTATAAAATTTGAATTTGTGTCTAAGGCTTCCATTCGTATGTTGGTTATCTTAAAAAACATAATTTAAAAGATCGTATTAAAAATAATGATAATTACCTTCAGTTTGTTTTTTTTTTGTGCACTGTAAACTACAAAAAATGGTCATACATAGGATTTATTGTCACTGTTGGTTTTATGTTGACTCAATAGATCTTAAACCATTGGAATATTGTGACTTTAACTCTAAGAGCCTAAAATCATGAAGAAATATCTTCAACACAACACGGTGATAACTCTTGAAATTCAAACAATTTGGAAGCAACTTAATCTTTCGTTTAGTTTCATATCAACTATAAATATTTTCTTGTGGATCCAAACAAAAATATGCATCTACTAAATTTTCAAGATTACATCCTTAACGTACGCATGACAAAATCAATCTTCATACCATGTCACACACACACGTCAAATGAGTCTTCTTCAACATGAACGCCAACTTGATCATTAGATCACCAATAAGTTATTTTGATTGTTGCACAAGGATCATCAATCTAACTCTGATTGTTCTACCATGATCATCAATCTAGCTCTGATATCACTTGTTAGTTTTACACAACGGATAATTAATACTAATAGCATAAGTTAGAAGACAAGATAAATATTAAAAAAATAATAAAAATATGGCATAAAGATATAACGTGGTTCAATACAAAATACCTACATCCACGGACCAAAAACATACATTGATGTATTATTTACTACAAAACTGGACATTTGATGACTAATTAGATAATACTCAATCTTATTTATAGGGATAAAATATTGTCAACCAATACAATTTGGATACTGTCAGATCCAGTGTTATCAGTGATGATGCACAAATTAATATTGTACAAAATCAACAGTCGAGTATATCAAGAAAAATAATTAATTAGTAGTAAATAGGCAATCAATAACAAAACACTAAATAAGGGAATCAACACCAAAATTTATAGTGGTTTGGTCTGTGTGACCTACTCCACTCTCTGGAGCAGCAGCGGTGGCCGAAAATCTTTATTGATGAATAATATCATTGGGAGAGTAACTCTGGGAGTATTACAATGCTTTTAGGAGAGAGAGAGAGAAGTGATGGGTGTAGGGGTCACAAGGTCATGTCAATGTGTCTCTCCTTGTGGAGAGAGCTTACATTATATAGGTTTAGTATGGCGGTGAGGCGGTGACGTGAGGGAGAGGACTTCTACTATTTTGGTAAGTTCAATCAAGATAAGATTAGATCTTCTTGCGTATCCCAATTTTCTCTCCCTCGTGCTCCTATTAAATCGGAGGAGGATCCTGGGCTTGGACTTGAGTTGTTGGGTGCTATACTTGAATTAGAATGACAGAGTCAAGAGGGCAAAAGACTCCAAGAAGCTGGGCAGGAGAAGGAGCAAGGGACAAAGGAGGGAAGGATCCCCTTGGGGTGGCCCCCCTTGGGCGGCGCCCCTTTGGGGTAGCCCCTTGAGGGTGTTCCCCTTGGACTCCTCCTTGACTTTGGCTTCCCTTGACTTGGGCTCCTCCTTGACTTGTTGACTTGGGCTCTGAGGTATCGTCGGCCTTTCTTGATTAATTGGGTCTAGCCCAGTTAATTTCGGGCTCAAAAAGTGTAGCTCTCTCACGAGCAATCCTCAAACTCTGTCTTTGCTCTCGCGCAAGCAACCTACCTCTCTCTGCAAGTAATTATGCTAGATATTTTAATGTTTAGAATAACATTATTTTTGTCATTTCTAGGCACGCTTTTGAAACTCAAGCTGTCTAGGACTACATTAGATTAAATGTCAACAATTGGGCCTCAATCTTTTTGTGTCTATCCGTCACTGCCGCCTCGTTGCCGCAACTCTCCAATGCTTAACACCTAGTGCAAATAAGGTCTGACTACGCCAAGTAACCCCCATGGCTAATTGTGCCATGCCCAACGCCTCGGCATGCTCACCTAGCGCAGCAGCCTTTCCTGCATGCCCAGCCAGCGCAACAGCTCCTCCTGTGCGCCCAGACAACGCAACCACTCTCTTGCGTACACAGCCAGCTTGCCCACCAACACCAGGCTCACCTCCAAACACCTAAGCATGGGTGCCCAATGCCCAGGCTGCTCGCCTGACCTCTACAACGCTAGCCCTAGCCACGCCCAGAGCTTGCTTTCTTTGCGTGACCCAACGGTGCTTGCCCCAGCGCACCCGCCTCCCTGGTCTCCTCCCTCATCTTGCCTAACTGTTTGCCCAGCTGCTCGGCCTCCTGAGCCTCGCCAACACTACCATGCCCTACGGTGACCCTTGTCTTACTAGCTTCCTGCAGAGCACAAGCTCTGCCTTCTCCTTCGGTCATGCCCTAGAATCCAAAAGGAAATAAAAGTGGAAGTAAATGAAAGAGTTTATATAACCAATGGTGTCCCACAAGCAAAAAAAGTTTACTGGAAGGGAGAGGGTCACCGATCAAGAGGAGTTTTCAAAAAATCGGATTTAAAAAAGGATGCTCGCTATTTTGACAGTAACTCCAAACGGGGCTCATTATATATTAAATCGAAGATCTCGACGAACCCTACAAAACACACTACCCAAGGCAGTGAAGGACGCTGTAAAAAGTCCAAAAAAGGCCCAGAAACAAATGTTTTGGCCTCTTGAAGATTTTTTTTATAAAAAAAAAATAAAAATTTCAGCTTCTGCTCGCCCAGAACAGTAGCAGCTCGCCCAAATTGCGTGCCCAGCTCCCTGCTCGCTATTTCGACCATAAATTTTGCTCTGTGACTCTAAATGAGGCTTATTATATATCAAATTGAAACTTTCGATGAGATCTACAAAACACACAGCCTTTGGTTATGAGTGATATTGTTAAAAGTTCAAAAAAGGCCTAGAAACAAATGTTTGGGCCTCCCAAAGTTTTTCAAGTTGTGCCAGTCAGCTGAATAATCAAACTCAACCGAATGCTCTCCTCTCCAAGTTCCATTGGACACAGGGCATTGGGGCAAATGATGGGCCAAGCCCAAGGTCTCAACTCATGTTACAAGACCAAGAGCCCAACTCCAAGAGGTCCAGCTAGCCAAGTCCAATGGAATCTGCACCCGGTCAAGCTCATTAGGTTCTAGTTGTTATAGCAGTAGAGGATCACGAAGGTTCATCTAAAAGCTCATCCATACCACCTTGAAAATAGTCAATACCCTAGTCATCCTTTGACGGAGTCTCATGGAGAGCACCTCAACCGACTCGCCCGTTGAGAAGAAGTCGCCAACTCTACTAGAATAGTTTTGTAGTTGTTATTAAGTCGCCCAAATCTGTTAGGGGACGATTATAAATTGTAAGCCTCGTTAACACTTGGGGGGCATCACACTTTGTTGAGCACAACTCTTTCCTTTCTCTCGCAACTTGTAGCTCTTTGCTCTCCTTGCACATTTGAGTTAATAAAATACCCGGCGACTCTTGCCATTCAAAAGTGGATATAAGTCACTTTGATCGAACTACTATAATTCTTGTTTTCTCTCTACTTTAATTATTGCATTTATTACTCATACTTGACAGGTGGTGTGCAAACTCAATTTGTACATCATCAATCAAAACTTCACCTAACCAGTCGGTCGGACCGGTTGAACTGTGAACTGGGACCTAAAATGGTCTGATTCTGTAGTTAGACTGCATAAGGAAGCAAAATGTCTGACAACTGTTGAATCAACCAGTTTTTGACCAAACTACTATGAACCAGATGGTTTGTTCAAACTAGACAGCTGAAAATGCAAATCTTATATAAAAAAAAAAATTTAAAAACCTTTTTTTGGGCCATTTTTGTCCTAAATAAATTGCAGATTTGCAACTTAGTGAACCAAACGGTTGGGATTCCAATGGTCTTCATCTTCCTTCGGTCCTCCTCTTTTCCGAGGACGAACAACTAGCTCGGTCCAATGGTGTTCGTCTTCCTTCAGTCTAGTGGTGTTTTGGCTCTTTGTCTTTCTTAGTTGTCTTTGCCTCTTTGGATCAAAATGGATTGTTCATTGAATTTAACCAAGTCATTCTTCTCTCTCTCTTTCTCACATATACACACACTCACTTAGAGTCCCCGACTCACAATTATGATTTATAACTCTTATGCTTTATAATTATTAGTTAAATTATTATATTTTATAATTTTTATAATATTTCTTTATTTTTAATTATACGATTGGTCCGATCAGTTGATTCAGTGAAGCATTGACCCAATCCCCCTACAGGTTCGATGATCAATCTAGTTTTGATAACATTGGTTAGATCTCTATGTTGCCATTAATATAACTATCCATAGTTTATTAAGACTCTTCTAATATATTTTCTTATTTCATTTATGATTCTCACATTGAATACCCAACAAACTATCATTCATGACAATTACAGATTTTGAATCAAATTCTAATAGTCAGTTGACATTAAGACTCAAACAAAATGTTAATGACTCACGGGAAGGATTGAAAGCTCGACAATCCGTTGGGCCACGTCTCAGTCCAACCCACTACAAGGAGAAACATAGTTAAGGCCGTGGGCCTTTTTTTGGGTAGGTAAATCAGCCTGGAAAAATACAAAGTTTTTCACTCGATATTGAATTATTTAAGCCAATACCATTTAGGTTATTTAAAGTTTGGGGGCTGAAAACTTCAATTTTTGTTGAATTTAGAGAAAAAGAAGATTGGATCGTTTAGACCCAAGTTTATTGGGCGTATATTCAGTCAAAACAGCTTCTATCTGCACCAAAGAAAGCTGATAAATCAGGCTTATCCAACAAAAAAATTAATTTTCCAAGAACATTTCGAATGGTTTCAAGAACTTTTTTAACTTAAGATTTTTCCACGAAGCTTTTCAAACTTCTATTTCACATCCAAAAAAATCAACTTCAAATAGGCCCAGGTTGTCCTAAATCTTTCATATCTCTTGAAGAAAAAAATATTAAACTTTTAGAATTTTAGTTCAGTCGAATAGTGTTATTAATTTTTTGTCCAAAGTTTGACTTTAAAACCTCAACTTATAATTTTATAATTCTATAAGAGTCTATATTTAATATAAAAATCAAATTGAAAATTCGATTATGGCTCAACAGAGGGCAATTAGGGTCAGTCATATGGCCAAGTTATGAGTTGCTTATTCTTAGATGCAGAATCAAGAATATCTATGAGGGGGTAAAATATAACTGATACAACAAAATATTTAGTTGAAATTGATACAAAAAATTCAGTTCAAGAATGACAAAAAAAGTAAGAATCAAGATAAAATTATTGTGAAATAGTAAATTTAATTTTATTTAGCCGAAACAAAATCCTAATAAAAAGAAAAAATAATTTTTTTAGTATATTTTAACCAAATTATATATTTTAATAAAATATAAATTTTTTTAGAATCTCTAAAATTTTATATATGAATTAAATGTAAATTAATTTTTCACTAATTTTCTATCAATGCACACAATCACAAATCCGTAGTAAAATTATTTTTTATGTAGTTACAAAATTTAGTTGATTGTTGTTGATCTTATAAATAAATTCCTTATTTGAAATAACTTGAAATATTTTTGGTTACAACATTTTGTCTTTTATATACAATCGTATTTTATTTGGTTATAAACTACTATTACTAAAAAATGGGTAAATAAAAACTAAAAATTGTTCTTAAAAAATAATGAACATTGTACGAGATAAAGAGAATTATTGTATTTTCCACAATATACAAATAGATCAAGATAGTTACATCTGATTGATTCAATCCAAAACTAACAAATTTATTTAAAAAGATTATTGGACCACTAATTTATTGAAAAAAGAAAAGACTAGAGCCGTTATTAAAATTTTTCAAAAATTTAGGGGGAGGGGCAAATATGATGTATAAAATAATTTTATGGGTCCTCATCCAAGATGGTCCAAAAATAAGGGGGGCAAGTGCCCACCCTGATCCCCATGTGGCTCCGGCCATGCTCATTCTTCGGATGAACTGATGCGTCTCACACACACAAAGAAAAAAAATAACTTTGGAGAAAGGATTAGTCCCTTCTTATAGCTTCTGGTTGGGGTTAGGTGATTTGGTGCAGTTTTAATCTATATCCGGCTAATTGGATTCGAGTTCGAATCAAAATTCGATTTATTGACATGTCTGCACACATATGACCCGTTTTCATTGACAAAAAATAGAGATACGATGTCAAAAAATATATTTCAGTCCTACGTTTTCACATCACACAAGGGACAGCAGTAGGTAAGTGTTGTGGATGAACGTGTACAAGAGGGAAAAGGGTTAGACAAGAGGTAGCAGCCGTATCCGCGTTATTGAATTGAAGTCCTTGCCATCGTCCGCAGCTGCTTGGGCAAACATAATCTCTGCGATTAAACTCTCAACGCATTCAAAGGCCCAGACCCAAGAATTTTAATTAACCATTCAAAGGAGTATTTGGTAAACGCATTCCTACTCCTCCTTTGCTTCCAAACAAAACAAAATCACATGAGAACAATATTATGTTTTATTAGCATTGTAAGAAAATATTTGATTTATTTCTTTATTTATAATTGTATAAATTATTATAAAATTAAATATTTTTTATTTAATATTCTCTTAGAGTTATGTTGAGCAAATTTATAATTTTTCAGAGTTCTATTTGTGGTGAATTTAGTTGAAAGAAAAGGAGATCATACCAAAAATTACCACTTTTTAAGATCAAAATATATTTTTTAAAAGTGAAGGTACAATTACTTAAAGCATTCATGACTGATTGCCATCTTCTTTTTTTTTTTTTTTTGTTTAACAATCAGAGGTATTCGGGTCAACTTCGACTAATCACCTCTTCAATTCAGTTAAAAGGTGACCATTCATACTGGAATGAAGGTATTCATAAAGAATAAAATTCTTATAGCCTGAGCCCATCAATATTCGAATTCAAGATGTCTGAATTTACAACTTATTTTTATTACCATTTGAAGTACCTTGGATTACTGACGATCAACCGGAAGAGTTTACTCATTTTTTGATATGCCAAGATTGCATGCTAGAGTGATTTTCCTGGAAAACGTATTCATTTAGATGGTGAAGAAATATGCATATTGAAGGCTTTTAATATTGAATATAAACCTAGTTATTTTCTTCATTTTTGATCCATTCAAATTTTATTTTTCTTGTCAAACCTCTCCGTCAATATTCAAAACCCTTCCAGCAATCTTATAACATGAAAAACTTAAGTCATACATTTAGATGACTTGATGTGTATAAATATAGCATCTCTTTGCATTTTATTTATTCACCATACTTTTATTTCATTTTTTGCTTAATTAGCCAACAAGATGAAAGCTCGAAGTGTTGTTTTAATCATTGTGGCTATTGTTTTCATTCTAAGCATGAAACCACACCAAGCCTGCAGATTGCTAGATGGAGAAGAAAGAGACTGGTTGAAAAATAAAAATATCGTGTTACAGTCTCTATAGTCAAATGGGTGCACCTACATCCCCAAGCTTGGTACTCCTTGCATCAATAATAAGAACTTTGCACTTCACATCACGTCTCCTCCTCCTCCTCCTCTACCATACCCACATCTCATGGTTCCAAGTGGTGCGGCCACGATCGTAAATGAAGGCCGAGAGTGACCCTTAGCCACATTACAATACTTTAGAAGTCAAAACAATAAATGTAACTTGTGACTTGAAGAAAAGCAGAAGCATACCAAACTTCTTTTTTAATTAACATATTTTTGTACTTAATTTGTGTGTATTGCATATATTATGATGATAGATTGGCAAAAGAAAATAAGAGTATGCTCACTTTGTAATTTGTATACTTATTAAAGGCAAATAAAAAGCTTAAAGTGAACTGTAAGTCTTTGCTCGTATTGCTGCTTATAAATATTATTTTTGTGTTATTTAGTGACTAAACAAGATAAATTTTTCACTGATGATAAATGACAAAGTTTGAATTTGTGACAAGGCAGCCATTCATATGCTGGTTATCCTACAAAACATAATTTAAAGCATCATTTTAAAAATAATGATAATTAAATTGAGATACAAGAAGAAGTACCTGATGATCAGTAGATATAGAGCATGAGAAAGCCTTGTTTACACCCATTTCGGCCTGGTGAATCAGCAAAGGAGTTGACAATATTCACTTTCAGTTCGATAACTCCGATATAAAATAATTTTTTTCTCTTTTTTATATAACAATATTACTCCAATATCTTGCACTTTGCCCAACTGAAATCGAACGAGAGCCATTGTCTTTCTTGTGGGTAAATCTACTCTTCTTTAATAGAAATCCATCACCACCACCCACCATCACAGACAATAAACTAAAAACAGTAAACTCAATGACAATGAATTAAAAGATAGTGAATTAAAAAATTCATCTCTTCTTCCGTCCACAATATATAACAAAACGCATATTCATAGAAAGAGAAAGAGTGACTGTTTAAGTTCATTGTCTTAAGTTCACTATTTTTAGTTTACAAAATCGAATTAGTAAGATCATCCAAAATTCGTCAATATAAATAAAGATCTTTTAGAAATTTCATAAAAACACAATCAAATCTCATCTAAATTCTATGTATCAAACAATCGATTCAGAAAAAGAGAGGGGGAGAATGCTTTTAGTTCATTGTCGTGGAACTCACTATCAATGGTGGTGGGCTACAGTGGTGATATTGATGACGGCGAACGGCGGTGGGATAGTAATGGTAGTTGTAATAAATATAAGAATGAAATATGATAAAAGTTTTTAGATAACCTCGTTCATTAAAGATATTTTTATTACCTACATATTTTATAGACCACTCTTTTTAAAAGTGTCAAGGTTGGACATTTTGTCTTAAAAGTGCCAGACTATGTACCATTCGTCAAATCTCACAAACTTTAATGGCTCAGGGGAAGGTCCAAAAGTTTGACAATTCATTGGATACGGGTAAGAATTATGGTATTCCATATTCCTACCCAATATTTTGTGGAAGAGATTTATCTTGGTCTACCCTATTCGATCAAGTGTACTATTTCTACCTGAATTCCATTCAAAACAATTGGTTAGGGTGAAAAATCAGGAGAACACAATATTTTTTAGTTATTAATTTTTAGATCATTTTGACAATTCAATTAAGTAACATGTACCAATTAACCAATACAATAATGTTAAAACTATTAAATTGTTAAGAATTTAATATATTAATAGTGTTTATGATTTGTGATTTATGCACACTTTAATTGTGTTAAAATGTTAAAAATTTAACACACACACACACACATCTTTAGAATTTTTATGGGTATTCCGCATTACTACCCAATTTTTACAAAATACCCAAAAAAATTTCGGTTGATGTAGCCGATTTTTTACAGTAGCCGATTAGTAGAGTAGGATAGGGTCGAGTAGGATTAGAATATTCGGGTAACCGAAAATTTGAACACCCCTTCCATTTAGGGGTGCAACTTGAACGGGCCAACCCGAAAAAAAAGGGTTTGGGTAAAAATTTGTAATACTTGGTTTGGTCTGGACAAAAAAATTTCAACTCGAATTGAATTTAGGCAAGTCTCGGATTGTCGAGTTCAACCTGAATATTAAATCTTTTTTTTAAGGAATTCTATATATAGCGTCATAAATCTTTCTTATCTATTGACCAAAAAATATATATATTAAATTTTTGGAATTTTAATTCAATCAAATAGTATTCTTTTTTGTCCAAAGTTTGACTTTAAAACCTCAACTTATAATTTTATAATTCTGTAAGAGTCTATATTTAATTTATAGTTATCAAATTGAAAACACGATTATGGCTCACTAGAGGACAATTAGGGTCAGGCCAGGTTATGGGTTGCTCATTCTTGGGATGAACTGGCCGTCTAACACGCATGGAGAAACAAAAACCTTGGGGAAAGGATTGGTCTCTTCTTATAGCTTTTGGTTGGGGTTATGCAACTACAGCAGACCTAATTTTTATTTATTTTTTTATTTAGTTGGATTCTCAGAAAATTGAGAAGTTAAATTTAATCTAAATATAGTGCACAACCAGAGTTATTTACCCCAATATGACACTTTTTTAAACTTAATTACCGATTTACAATTCTTTTTAACAATGGAGTCAATAATCTCGTTTTTGTTTAAAAACAGGGTTAATAATCTTGATTTTAAATAAAAAATATGATTAGTAGTTGCAGTGATCGTAGATAAAAATCATGTTTACTAAACACACCTTTCAGCTAAGCATAATTTCGTAATTTGCTTTTACTTAAAAGCATTTCATTGTTGCCCATTAATGTAGAACAAGTTTCTGTTGATTACTTGGAGCATAAAGATTGTCGTGTGTCCGAGGCCTAAAGAAAGACAAAAAGGTGACAGTTGTTGGAGATATAACAGTTTAGTTTATTAGGGTTTATTAAGCTTTTTCTTTTTTATCTTTTTACCGTTTTATCCTTATTGTAACTTTCATTGACTATATATACGGGGGCTCTACACTTAGTTTGTATCTTTTTACATATTTCAAGTTAGTATCAGAGCCTAACCTCCATCTCTAACCCTAATCCTAACCTTAACCCTAACCTTCGTCACCTTTCCTACTGCCACCATCGACAGCCTCTCCACCGAAAAAAAACAAAAAAAAAAAGAAGCCAGCCCACTGTCGGCGACAAAAACCACTGCTAACCACAAAGCCAAAAACCATATACCCACAAAGCCAAAACCACAAAGCAAAGCCAACTCCCAGCACCGACTGCCTGTACTGCTATACCCATCACCGACCGACTGCCATATACCCACAAAGCCAACTCCTCACCTGAAACCCAACCCCCGAGAACATACCCACATACATACCCATCGACAGCCACCCAGTAAGCAAGCACCAAAAGCACCGATTGCCACATACCCACCAACAGCCCAAATACCCAGCACCGACTGCCTCTGTTTGCCCACCAAACATATACCAGCACATACTCCACCGAAACATATAGAGGACTGCTTCATCCTAGTTCCACCGACTTCACAAACCCACTGCCCAGACCCATAAACAAATACTCCTGACAACTAAGCAGACCCACCGACAGACAATACCCACCAAGACCCAGCCGACTAAACTACTAGCTACCAGCCGACTGCTCAAGACAATACCCACCAAAGACCAATTGCCTACCCAGCCCCAACATAGTAGTCACCCCAGTGAACCAGCTGGGTCGCGCTCTTCGTCATAGTTTCGTGTTTTGCCTTTGTGCACCTAATTATTTGGGACTGTAGGACCTTTTAAGAGGGGTTGAATCCTCTTCTCCGTTGATATGCTCTTGATGCAGTAGATCACTTATTTATATTTATTGGATTTCTGGGCATCGTGACCTGATTATTTGGGAGCTTTTTGAACCTTCTTTATCTATCGCTACTGTTCGACTGGAAGTATATTGTTCTCTCTTATTTTGTCCATCTATTTATCTTAGAGTTATTTTTCTGTCACGAGTGCCCTAGTATTATTGATGATATGACTACTACTGAGGGAATTGAGATCCCTACCGTTGAGACATTTGTTAGTATTTCCATTGAGTATAGGGGTCGACAGCGCTCGACCCAACACCGTCAGGGTACCCCACATCAGCGTAGATAAGGAGATTCACGTTAGTGTGATTATTGTAGCCGACTAAGACATCTCATGGCTACTTGTTGGAAGCTCCATCCGGAGCTTAAGTTGCCTCCTCGCAGCCGTACTACTGCCATTGCTAAGGCACCACCACCTACAGTCATTGCTCCTACTACTACTGTTACTGCTCCTCCTTGGCAGAGTGATATGGATGCTATCACTTCTCACTTGGATGTACTTATGTCAGCCTTGACTTCTCAAGGTTCGACTACTACTGCTGCCATTACTACAGATATACCTCGTGTCTTTCATACTTGCGCCAGTCTGTCTCCTCTTTGGATGCTGGACTCGGGTGCTAATGGTCATATGACAGATGAGACCCATCATTTCACCTTTTTGACGAGCAGTTACATACTCAAGTTCAATTAGCAGATGGTACACATGCCCCTATTATTAGTAGGGGTACTGTCCGCCTCCCAGATGACTTTACATTACGTTCAGTGTTTCATGCGCCAAAGCTGGCCATGAATCTATTATCTGTACATCAGTTAACTTGAGATTTTCACTATGCGGTTGTGTTCTTATCTGATTCGTGTTATTTGCAAGACCTGAGTACTAGGAGGATTATTACCAGGGGACATGAAAGAGATGGATTGAATTATTTAGGCGATCCACCTCCTGTTTCACCAGTTTCTCCACCTCTACCTCCATCACCTGTTTTGTCTTTATCTGTTCCTAGCTTACATGCTAGTATTTTACTTAATACTTGTCGTTATGATTTTTCATCACAAACTGTTTAGTTGTGGCATGATCATTTTAGACATATAAATTTTAAATATTTATGTTTGTTATTTCCTGCTTTGAGCAAAGCTTGTGTCAGTGGTAAACTTGACTATGTTATATGTTCCCTATCAAAACATGTTCGGACCAGTTATATTTCTCGCATTCACCAGTCACCCAAACCATTTGACCTAATACACTCAGATATTTGGGGACCTTCTCCTGTTACTGCTCTGTCAAGTGTCCGATACTATGTGACAACCCATTGTACTTGGGTCTACCTTTTGCATAGGAAGTTTGATGTATTCCCCTGTCATTACTCAATTTCTTTAGATAATTAAGACACAGTTCGATGTCATTGTTCGTGCTCTTTGTTCGGATAATGCCAAAGAATATTAGTTTGATGTCTTAGTGTCTTACCTTTTTTCTCGAGGTATCCTTCAGCAGCTCACTTGTCCATATACTCCTGAGCAAAATGGAATTGCTAAAAGAACAAATAAGAGTCTAATAGGGATGATACATTGTATGCTTAGAGGTATGGGGGTACCAAAATCTTATTGACATTTTGCTATTTTGACTTCTACCTTTTTATGAAATCGTACATCGAGTTGTGTTCTTCAACATAGGGCTCCCTTACAGGTCTTATTCCCTGAGTGGATACTTTTTTCGGTCTCCCCTCGTGTTTTTGGCTGCACATGTTTTGTTCAGGATCGGTCTCCTACTCGTCATAAGCTTGATGATAAAGTGATTC